TTTGTTTGTTTCCATGGTGGTTCATGCTACTTCCCCTAAACCCTTTTCCCTCGGTTTCAGCTGCCGTCCGCCGCTCGTCCGCTGCTGTCGCGAGTCTGCAGATGCGCACAAACTATATATTTGTTGAAACACCTTCAATTGATCGGACTCCTCACCTTGCCGTTGAGCCATTCCTTCCCTCGGGGAATTGAGTTAACTGAATACAATTGTCAAAGTGTGTCAAACTCTGTCTCTAAGGGTTCACGTATCCACTTACTTACTTTCATTGGGCAGGGGGGGCAGAGAGGACTTGCAAGGCTCTGCCCAACGAAGCTCCTTGCAAGACCCTAGGAAGCGGAAGCTGATCACTTCCGTGTACCTGCGCTCAACGTTTGACCAAGCTGTTCCCTTCTCAATTTGGTTCCATGGTGGTTGATCATGATACTTTCCCCTCAAACAGGTTTCCCTCAGCCGCTTTCAGCAGCCGCCGTGCCACTACTGCAGACACGCGTCAACTTTTTTGTTGAAACATCTTCAATTTCACTGGACCCATCCAATTCGAGACCACTGACACTTCGATGAACGACTCACCATCAATACATTTCTTACCCCCCGCATTAATACATGATCAATTAATAAGGGAGCATCTTGTATGTTTGTTGTTTCTGAGTATATGATGATTTGTATCAAATTATTCAGAAAATGTATTAATGAATTTCCCATCATGTCCCCCCTTAAGTGGCAATACATTATTAAGGGAATCCCTCGTAATTACATGTAATTATATATTATATTATATTATATTATATGCGAAGCTGGGGGATGCTGGGGGCTTAAAAGGGTGTGCGTGTCTCGCATGATTCCCGACCGAAGTGTACAGTATGAGGATCCATCTCCAAACAGCACGGAAGAAACTGGGAACCTCCAAAGCAAATTCACCTCTCCACTGATTTAGAAGGGGACGCATCACCACGGTTCTAAGACACGTGAAGACAAAGAACTACTCCCCTGCCCCACTTCGGGACGCACCGAGAACCACTGGCTTTTCTCAAGACCTCTGTGCTTGAGCTGAACAGTGGCAGTCTTGGCCACTGGCTGTTGGCGGAAAACTTCCAGAAACTCAACGGAACTGGGATGATGACTACCTTTGACCCATATCCAATTGCAAAATCTGGGATACATTCCATTTCTCCGACCGTACGAAAAGATCCTGCGATCCCTCCGGTGAAGGCACATTCTTGACTCACCCGGTTCCCACCTCTTGGATGGTCGATGGGTCCACCCTGGACAGTGAGCACCGCTACCCGTTCGGTCCCAAGGCCGGGCTCGGCTGTTTTGGATTCAGAGTATTCCCCGGGTTCGAAGCTGTCAATAATCCAGTTCGATATGAATCCATGCAGTGGATCTGATTTGGATTAACTGTTGCATCACTGAACCAAGGATCTTCTGCCTTTGGGGGCTTGGAGTTTGGATTGGGATGATGACCACTGGGTTCACCTGGAAGATCTGTACAAGTCTTGCCGACCAGTCTGGTGATCTATGACGCTCAAATGACTGGGTGCAAATAAGTACACACACTGCTGCAGTTTTCAACCGGGTACATGTGGTATAGGTACCGTCTCTCCAAAGAGAATCTACAAGAAAAGAAACGTAAATGACCTCGAAACTGTGGCCATGGCGCCACTTCGTGGCCTCCGATTCTCTTGCGTACCGGTGAGAGCATTGACAAATCGAACCCCTGGATGTGGAAGAGCATCACATCGGAGAACCCGGTGGTCACGTGGAAGTTCTGTGCGATTGGAAGTTCTGTGACCATTGAAGTGTTTGCGAATTGATCTTCTTAGATGACTTCTTAATGTAGACTCTTGATTCAGAACCCATTGGAAGTGAACAACCTCTTCATCCTATTGGCTTATATTGGTTAATTAATGTTTTTGCCTGGGGACTGAAGACCGGACCCACTTTTCTGACCCCACCCCCCACCCCCCCAACACCATGTGATGACATGACCAAGCGTCGTGGCACTGCGTAAGATCATATCGCAAGATAACCAAGTTGAAACAATAGCGTAAACGGGTTGCCAAAAACAGAAAACATGGGAGGGGTGTTGTAGTTTCGCTCTCGAGCATGAAGGCTCAAGAAGTAGCCACGGTGTGTGCTTTAGTTTTGTTGTTTCGGTTGTCGGGCGTTCCTGTCCTCCTCGTTTTTTGTGTCTTCTTCCTTCGTGGTGTGTCAACCCTTTTCTTTAGACCAGTAATTACGTAGACGGTTTAACTCGTATTGTTCTGACTCTTTATCTTTTGTTCACGAAACAGCTTTGGATTCAGATCGTGGCTTGGTAAACTGGGAGCAGGTTTTAGAATCTGGTGTTTTGTTGTTCACACTTTGGTGCAATGTGTGGTTGAGGTTTTCTTTTCGAAGCAACAGAAACTAACTGTAACTAATCCTTTTCTGTTGGTGACTGTTGGTGTTGAGTTGGCGTTTGTGGCGTAGTTGTAGCAGCTCCATGTCGGATGGGTGCGCCGCCGCTGATTTGCTCGACAATGGCATCGATGAAAAAGACTTGCATTCGGAGCCTGACTGGGGACAGCTAGTTACACAACAATCAGGCAACTTGAGGTGTCATCAAAAAGCCTTTGTTTTTGAGGCAAAACGCATGACAAAGCACTGCGTTTACCAATGAATTTGACATGAGAACCTGCAAAATAGGGTACGGTTTCCAATCCGTAATTACATCCCACAGAGTCTCGTCCACCCTTCGATCGCCGGGGCACCAAAAGGGGAAGTCCACCTCGCCCTCCTTGCGGTCCCGGTGCCGAGGCACCTCATCGCCTAGCTCGCAGCTCGTGCTGCACGACCCGTGGCAGCGCTGGTCTTGGAAAAAGGATTGACCCGTGGTGCCCAGAAGCACCACCTGGGTGATGTCAAGACTGCTTTTTGGGCCAAGGTGACCAACTACTATTTATAGCTATTCAGATTATTCAGTGGATGGGTCATGTGTCGAAAAAAAGCCCCCCCATGTAACAGTCTTGCTTTTGAAAGACCGCTTTGGTGACGCGTGAATGGACATGATCCCAAAACAAAAAGCGAGAGATGCCATGAGGTGCCCATCTGCGGCCCATCAATTAGAACGCATTCTCTACCCGCCCATCCGCGGCCGAAAACGCCAGTGGCTGCTTCAACCGATTTTTGGTCCCCATTCCACGGGCCTTTCGTCTCGTTTCGTGGGTTTTTTCCGTGCCTTTCGTCGCGCCGGAGCGGTCTAAAAAGCAATGGAGCCTGACGAGCAATGGAGCGGTCGAGTCTGCCATGAGTGCCTGATGGAGCGGATCTCATAGAGGTCTATCCAACGAACATCTATGAACAAACAGCTTAGAACATTCTTTCTTTCTTTCTTTCTTTCTTTCTTTCTTTCTATGCGCTCTGTCTGTGTCCTAAGACTCAACGCCTTGCTGAGGTGAATTATTAATTCAAACAGCTAGAACACTTCAAAAAGACAAACTTTACGTGTTGCTTCCATACAAATCTGATGAATCTCACAAGCATGTTTTAAGCGAAATGCCCACACACGCAGAGTGTGTAACAATGACCCCATCCTCTCAGACAAAACCAGGGTCTCCCATCAATCTGTGGTGAAGCAAGATGATGATGGGATAATCCTATTTCCAGTTGGGCGGCTTCAGGAGCTTGCCAGAGTGTCAACCTCAACAAGAGAGCCAAAAGACACAAAGAAGTGCAACCGACACATACGAAATAGAAAAGACTCCTCCTGGAAAATTGAAAAAGTCCGCTTTTGGCAGACTCCTACTGAATAGTTCTGGTTGCCTTCGCTCGTCATTTGGTAAGAAGCACAAGCCAAACAAGATCCAGTCTCCAGTCCAACCACAACAAAACACACCATTTAGGCGGCCCCAGTGGACAAAATGGAGAATATTGGATTGACAATGGATTGTCTACGGCACGACCATAGAGCAATATGAACGCAACATGGTCCGTCTGTGGCCTCACTTTAGAGATTTAACAACCCGTGAGAGGCCTACGGCTTCGCCATTTGCCCACTTCAAGACAATATTCTGAACAGAGCCTAATTGAAGGCACCAAGGATACCATGACAACTACCATGACAATTCAGCTTCCCTGTCAAAGCAAAAACAAAGGGTGAAACCAAAAAACACCACTTCTTCGAACCACCCAAAAACGGTCCACGTGACCTCGCCCTGCGCTCCAACCTCCCCGCGTTCCGCATCCGCGTTCCGCGTGGTCCGCGTCCCGCCTGCAAAGCGCTCGAGATGGATAGCTGGGACACCACACCTCGGCGCTCGGTGAGAGCTCCGGTGCTCGAGGTCAGCGTCCCTAAGTCAGTCACGGGGACGTGCTGGTCAAACCAACCACTTGGCACCCCTGCGCAGGCATAGGAGCTTCCCACGCCGGGCGGTTCCTGGAGCGCCACGCCGAACGGGCTCTTCCAGATGCGAGGCTCCAAGCACCCGAGATGGGTTCAAAATCCGGGCAAAAAAAAGCCCGGACATGTCGTTCTTCACAACCCTAGGGATCCAGTCGTACCTCCTCAAAAGGTACGACTGGACCCTCCTGGCACCCACCCCAAACACCTTCAGAGGGTACTTGGATCCTTAGGGCAACATTTCAATGTTTCTCCAAAATCTGAGCCCAACATGTGCCCTTTTCATGGGTGCAAACCTGCCGTCGTTCGACGCAGAATGCAGCTTGCAGCGCGAAGAGCAAGCCTTTATCATAGGAGGGCGCATCTGGCATTTCATCAGCATATCTATGCATATCTCATATCTCCCAGAATCAAAGGGTGCGCGTACCCCAGCACCCAGAGCCCAGATTGCTTGGACATCAAGTGACCCCTGCGAGATTTGAGCGGGTATTCTGTATGGCTGGTGCTGTAGGGGCCGCAAGGAAATCACCACAAACTTTTACACAAAAGAGTTAGTCTACTTCAGGATGAACAACACCTGGATGAACCTTTGACCATCTCAATCTCTCCGTCCGCCGTTTCTGTTACTTCGGCCCGTCCTGCTGCCCACTGATGGCCAAATCCAGCTTTGGGGCGAGTGACAAGCAAAGCACGTCCGCGTTGTGGCCCTGACCGCCGACCCGATCCGCCCTGACCGTCTCCCGGCGTTTGAGACCGACCCGACCCGAACCGGGAGGCGAGAGATGGGGATGGATGGAAGACGATGTTCCTCTGCAAACCATGTGCTTTTTCAGATTCCATATTGATCTTCCATGGGCGTATATGGCCCAGCATGTGAGTTCCGAACAAGGATGCCAACGGCCGAAAAAAGCTTCGGCCACCGACTCGATCTGGGCGCTGCGGCACGGTTTTGTGGCCGGGGAGTTGGTCAGGAGACAACGAGTGATCTGTATTCACAAACGTATCAAACAATACATTGGATAGAAGAACGGGCTCACCCCTGGGGTGCCTGATCCTGGAATTACAAATTCAAGACAAGTGTTAGAAAGAATCCAACATGTTTGTTCGACGCGTCCAAAAACTGTCCCAAACCACCGTCAACCCTGGCCCTGTCCTGTCGTTTCCCACTTCTTGATCTTATTCAGAGAGTGATGGTCTGTCCACTTTCACAAATGCACTCCTGCACTGTCCTGCACTGAAAAAGATCAGCCAACATTCCGATCCATATAACTCCAATGTTTTACCCACCCCGAGACATGTGCATCAAACGGTCTTCTGGGTAGTCCAATCTGGTGGACGGCAAGCTACCAGGAGTTCAGGATTCTTGACTGCTGACTCCACTCCAACCCAGGCAGAAAACCGCCTCAAAGTAGGTCTGCCTTGGCTGCAACAAATCCTCGCCGGAGTGCTTATCTGTGCGAGGGAATTGGAGCGAATCCACTTTCTTGAATAGATAAACCATGTCCCAAACATAGGTGCACTTGAACCGATCATTTGGGTATTATGCACTGTCACATTGAAGTTACAGTAACCCAAATGATCTGTTCATATCTGTTCAATATGGGCCGAAACCTTCGGTCGGTGACTTCCTGGCATTCAAAAAACATGTCCGAGGCTTTAGCCATCTTGAGCCTATGAGTCCCAGTTACAAGTTACCACTACAGGTATATATACCCCAAGCCCCACCCACATTGGCATTCAATAAGAGACACAAAACCCGAAACCAAAGAGACACGTTTCTTAACGCTTGTGGGCCTTGTCTGTGGCCTTATGGACCCCGCGACGGCGAACGGAAGATCATGCACGGCCCAGCAAGGCCCGGTGTTCGGCTGTCTTGCCGTCTGGCCAGAGGACAAGCTGGTCCTGAATAAGGGTATCAAGTGTCCGGCTTTGGTTTCCAGTCCTTTGCATCCAAAGACTATACCAGCTGTTGGTGGATTCCCTCAATGCCCTGAGTGAGGAAAAGACCAACCGCAACTAACTCTTTGAGCCCCCAATCCACACGTCCTCGATAATGCAAAGCCTTGCTGCGATGTAGACCTAGGTTGGAGTTGGTGGTGAGGGTCTCCTCTTTCGCTGTGCTTAGGATGGCATGGGCCGGGCTGTGTTTGAGCAAAAGTGTTCAACTCACTGAGTAGGACAACATAAAACATCTGAGATCTAGCTTTCTATACCAGTACCCGAAGCTTGAGGCTGGGTTTAAGCTTGCAAAAAGGTTCTCGGTATTATCCAATGGTTTCTTGGGAGGGTGAAGCTCTACTGAGAGCTGGTCTGTTTACAACATGGCTTCAGAATCGATTCCACAATGTTCATCAAATCACTCTAGATCTTAATGCTTAAACATGTTATATATATATATAATATGTATCTATGTGCGTGTCAAACCACGCAAAACCAATCCACCAAACCTGTCAGGTGACGCCTCGCTCTTTCGCTCCCTGCACACCCGCCAAGGCACACAGCGCCCGTCCATGGTGAAATGCACGCTCTGTGGTGCTGAGCCATCCATGCCATAGACGTGCTCCCGGACCAGCTGAAGCTCCGGCGCCTGACCACGAGGCGAACGAGGCCCGGGTTGACCAAGCTCGGACCCGGCCGACGCGCGGACCCGGCCGGCGTGGGACCTCGGTCGGGAATGAAGTCCGGGTGAAAAATGCTGGTGGAAGCGAAGTCCGGTGGAATTCGAGATTTGAAGGGAAAATGTTGCTGGAATAGAGTGATATGTATATATAATATACATATATATAGTTAAATATGTGTATATATGTATATACATACAGAGAGAGAGAGAGAGATTGATTATCAAAGAACAACACTTGGAAGATCTGATGAGGTTTCTCCAGTCACATCCTCAATTCTCAAACCTCACATCCAGTGGCTGCAGGACACCCCATGCTTATGCTCGAGGGTCAAAGGAGGAATGGCAATTCACCTCACCCACTTGTCTCCCAGAACCGAATTTGCTGCTTCTGCATTTCTGTATAGTTCTGTCTATAGTCTATAGTGGGGAGACCCCTGGTGCCACCCCACCTTCAACTCCATGATAAATATATAAATACTGATGGCATCCGATGGCCAAATACTGGACACAAGGACCTGTCCAGTCTCTTACCGAACGCCTTCGCGCAGTTCTTGTCTGGCTTCCAGGTGGAAGGAGCATAAACCATGAGCCGATGCCTTGGTCCAGAAGGATCCATGGAAAAGCGGATGAGTCTAGCGTTGTGCAAAGAAAATGCAAAGGAAACCACATCTATCAAGTATTGGTAAGCCAAGATTGTTCAGGAAATCTAGCAGGATTGGTTCATCCTAGCTTGGCGGATCAAGTATTGGTTTAAGCTAGATTTCATCTTGTTCTGCAAACCTTTGAACCAATCCTGCTTGCCTTTGGGCGCCAAAGAAGCTCCTGCCCATCTAGTCTTTTTGTAAAGCCCTTAAATAGCAGAGTCCTACTGGGCCTCAAGGAGGGAGTTGATCATTGCCTGATGCAAAAGTGCGAACTCCTGCACGCAGTCAGCACACTTTTTCTTTCAAACAAGCTGAGACTTCTAGCGCACTGCTCGCAACAAGCTATTGCTGCAAAATGGTCGCCAGGGTGTGTGGGTTAAACTTGTGGCAAGCAGCCTCTGGACGCGCATCGATTCCGCCCAAAAAAGAACGGGCGTGGACGCGCATCCTCCCACCAATCGATCGATCTTCACGACCGATCGAAGAAAACTCATCGCACTTGTCCAGTGATGTATCCCAGGACCGCGCGGATCGTGGGATGATCCAGGAACAAGGTGGGCGGCAGCCTGAGAATCGGAGTGATGCCGCTCGCGGCTTCGCACTGCTTTCGCTTCTTCGGACAGGTTGATGAGCCGAAGAAGACCAGAAGATGGCCATATGGTTGGCCCAAGATGTTTTGCAATACTGGTTGGCTATTAAAGAAGGAGATTCAAAGGTATTGTGAGAATCCTTCCCAATCATGTAGTCTCTTCCACCAACTGCACCCAGGTGCCCAAACAGGAGAAAATATGTGTAGCATCTTGTAGCCTTGCTCAAAACAGGAAACCACTGTTCTTTTGAGTCAACAGTGTGCTCAAAGAGCACTGAGCACAGCAAGTCTTTTTCCGATGCCGTCCCGTATCCAAAAACCCATCCGTTCCACACGCGAAGTGACCCTCTTTCTGGTCCATTTGCAAGGCCTCTGTTTGGCTATGTTTGGCTTGTTTGGCTGTACCCCTCCCTGCAGGCCTCGGGACTGCATGGTTTTGTGGAGGTCCCTCTTCAAACCCTGCTTGCGTCGGGGCGAAGGAGCCTTCACTTATCCAACGGGCTCAGTGGCGATGGAAAGACAGGGTCAATAATCTCCCAATGTATCCCTGTCAGCACTCCTCAAGATAGACCAACAACCCCTACACTGAGACTTCGAAATTATGGAAAACATGTAACTGTAACCAAATACCGATTTCCCTCCAAGTGCCCCAAGCATGAATTTCATTGCCGCGTCGTCCAGTGAAGCACATCGCACAGGTATCGGATATAGATGAATCCCGCACTGGAGTTGGGAGACTTATGTCTCCGCTACTCTGACAAGCCCCAGGTTCACTTATCCAACGGACTTTGCCTCAGCCCGCCTCCCAACCCCTCGTGCCCCTTTGGTACCAAGTTCCATACTGCCCACATCTCATTTACGCAATCATTTCGTTCACCAACGAGTCGTTGGACATGAAATCATGTCTCCACACATCTGACATCATCTGACTCTTGCCAAACCCACAGGGCCAGCAGCTTAGCTTTCTGCAGCGAACAAAACCATCACTTCCACGGCACCACCCGTCACCCGCGCGCGCGGTCGCACCACGGTTTGCCGTGCCTGATGTGTTTCACCTCACGCTGGAGCTCATCCCGGAGCAAAACCGCCGCGCCACTCGTGAGGCCCAGCTCGCTAAGAGGAACTTCCAGGGAAACGTCCTCCGGGGAGGGCAAAGCCAGCAAGATGTTCGCCAGCTCCTGGAAGTCGCACGGTCTCTGGGAGAACGGTTTTTGATCGATTGGGCTGGGTGACAATCGGGGAGGTGGTAGGGATGATCGATAGTGGAACGTGGTGAGGAGGATGGTGAAAGTGTAGGAGAGCGTTTCGTGGATGAAGATGGCGGTTGGGCATGGGATGATGCTGCTGGGTGATGCTGTTGGTAAGCTAAGCTGGCGAAAGCTGGGGACAGGTGTTAGGATGCTGGGCACGTTGGGCAAGAGTGCTATTTTGTTTGTCAGTTGTCATTGGAGAGAACACTTTGCATCACTTTGCGGGGTAGCTTCCAGTCTATAAACCAAAACTCACACACATCTCCAAGGAGTAAGCACTATGTCATATCAGTTCAATTTATTTATATATTGGTTTTAAAGTCTTTTGAAGTACTTGGATGGCGCGGTGCTCAAGAGACAGGTCTGATATGGCTCTGATCAGCGTCTCGGCGCCGCACTCGACCAAGCTGCTAAGCGAGGAGCGACCGTATTTTGCCGTGGCATGGGGAAGAGTTTCTTGAGTCGTTCAACGGGTGACCCAAACTGTGGGTCTATCCTAATTATTACGCCTATTACCAGGTTTCAGTGGATGATGATGCCCTAAACATCCAAGTACCCTCTGAGAAGGTGGGACTGGGGTGGGTGCCGGGAGGGTCCAGTCGTACCTTTTGAGGAGGTATGACTGGATCCCTGGGGATGGTTTTAGTTAAGACCTTGTTCCATAATAGTGATCATATGTGATAATTAATCGTTTACTGACTAATTACAGGTAATAGGACAAACCCAACCTATATACACTATAAAGTAGCAGCTGAGTAGCAGCTGATTGACCGGCCATTTGTTGTTTCTTTTTGTAGGGCACTTTGGGTTTAAAATGGTTTCAATATGTTTCAATTCTGGTGGATGGTCAAATCTGGGAGCAGTGGGAGGGTTTTAGACTCGACCATCCCTGTTCAAGAGATTCGTCTTTCGAAGACGACTTTCAAGGATAGCACCTGATTGGCCTATACATAAGAAGTCATCATGTGCTACAAAAGACCTCGGTCAACCCCAGGGAGCATTGCCTCAACCATCCTGAACCATTCTGGCCCATTGAAGCACAATTCGCTCCTGAATGCGTTGTTTCAGGTGCTCATCCTCCTCCCTCAGCATGGTGGACGTCAAGAAGCCCTTACGCATTGCCGGCCCCGGCCGCAGCATCCCATCGCCATTGTGCCCACCACGTTGCTGCTTGGCGCAGGAACAGGAGGCTGCACCACAGTGAAGGCATCTGCCTGGGTAGGCGTTCTCATCCTGCACACGTGAATCACTGGCAACACGGGACGCGGACATGAAGCCGGAGATTCATCAAACTGGGTGAAAAGTGGCTGCTCAGCATCTTGATCCTAGGCATCCACATACCTTCTCAGAAGGTACGACTGGGCCTGACAATGGCACCTACATAAATAGTCTCCCTGCTCACCTCAGGTTCGGTCTGTGGATCATTAAGGAACTGCCGCTACTAACCTACTGACCCGGTCTGTGGGTCGTTCTGAGGTCCGAAGTGATCCGTGCGCTCCGGAGTGACCGGTGCCTCTCGGTTGCAAGGCCAAGGCCATCGACCTGGTGCCTCTGCCCCAGCCATGCCGAAAAAGATCGAGTACCCGAGTACAGTACCAACATATATACCTATCTCTACTCTCTTTCCAGGAAACAGAATCCAAACAGCTCGGTCACGCCCCTCAACCGCTCCGCCCATCGACATCGCTCTCAACTCCCCGTGACCGTGCGGTGGCCCGCGCGGCGGCCACGTCCTGTTGGGGCCTAGATGAAATCTCTCCCAAGGCCGCCAACATCTCCTTGCAGTTGCGAACTTCCAAAAACCACAGATCCAACATCATTCCGGGATACTTCAGAAAGTAAAAGGCACTTCAGCTACTGTGGAGAAGCCTTCCGTAGACCCCAAACAGTTTGTGTTTTCAATATCGGAACACTCTGCAGCTAGAGCTTGCGACGTCCAGAGCTCGGAGACAAAGGATTGCAAGGCAGAGGCGGCCACAGCAGTCCAGAGCTGGGAGACAAATGTAGACACAGGGAGAAAAATGACAATACAATGTAAAGGATTGCAAGCGACACGCAGCCCAGAGCTGGGAGACAAATGTAAAGGATTGCAGGGCAGAGCAGCTGGGAGACAAATGAATACTGGGTTCATGTCTCAGCTGGGCCGAAAAATTTTAAGGGGATTGGGTCGTTTGCACTGCTGCATTCCTGAGATGTGGTAGCCGCTTCTCGGCTTCCTCTCCGGAACAACGCCCTAATTCTCTGATCTTTTTCCACGTCTTTGCCGACGGTACGTCAGGTCTGCGCAGGCAGGTGAAGCAAGCCAACGGCCTGGCCAAGTTCAAGAAAAAAGAGAACTGCCTTCACCAGCCAGCTGAATTGGACTTCTGGGGAATACATAAATACCAAGACCAAGTTGTTGAAAACACAAAAGAACCATCTAGATGGAGTTCATCTTCAGATGAATCTGCTTGGTTGCAATATTCAAGCATCATGGCTGAGTTCACCTTCAGGTGAATGTGCTTGGTTGCAATGTTCGAGCTTCATGATTCATCTAAATTCAATTCTGATCGGCTAGCCTCATCAAGGCCGCCTTCTCCTTTTTCTTGCCACGCGCAAACGTATGCTTGCCCCCACCCCAAATTGTTGAGCTGGACCATGGACCTTGGACCTTGAGCCAGGGACCGCATGGACCTGCCGAAACACACCCTCAGCATTCTGCTGATGGGTTGAAGGTGAAAAAGAACCTAGCTGGAGCCCCTCTGCTTCATCCACTTCCTGGCCTTAGGCTCTGGGTGACAAGCTGCCAGCACAACAGAGCGCCAGCTGGAACAATGCCACAGACGGGCGTGCCAATGACTGGAAGATTTCTGACTTTTCGCAGAGGTCAAGGTGGACCATTGCGCGCACCATTCCGAAATAGTTTGCTTGGAAGATCTCTGCCGCAAATCAAAGGGCTTCATGAGCATGAAGCCGGAGCAGACTTCAAACAGGACGCAACCAAAAGACCATAAATCAATAGATGGGTTTAGAGCGCTCTGCAAGGATCGCAGGTCACGAGTCATGTGCCAAAGCTCCGGTGGCCGGTAAGGAAGGGAAACGTATTCATTGTACCTTGGCTGTTCCACCACGCC